GGCTTACGGTCCCAACACGGCAGGCCTCATTTTCTGGGATCAGGGAAGATTAGGTCTGTTAGGGCATCGCTGAAATTCTGGCATTGGCTGTCTGGAGAGCAGAGCTGATCACACACAAGTGTTTGGAGCAGCCAGTTGACGGGCAACATTTAGCACATTCCAGACAAAGGCCCGGCCTCTGTTAACCCACATTTATTAAAAATGTTTCACATGGTATTTTGATTCCTATTCAGCATTACACTCATCTTGCTCAGTCCATCACTGTCCATAAAGTCTGCTTGAAAATCTGCTGTTTGATGCGTCACACTGATTGTTTTGTATTCAGCCTTAGCTGCTGCTTTATGTGTGTTATTTAGTGTTTCTTTAATGGTGTGCTTACTCCCCACTCACCCCTGCAAAATTTGGTACAGACATTCATGTTCCCATCAGGATGAACTGTAAGCGTCATTGATCGACAGAAAATTAATTGGCAACTATTTTGATCGTCGATGAATCTGAATTTTTTTAAGCACAAATGGCAAACATTCTGTCATTGCAGTTTTTCCAGTTTCTGTTTTTTTTCTGTATTTTATGTCGATGTAAACAGAATATCTTTGGGCTCTGGGCTGTTGGTTGAAAATGTGACCGTGGACTCTAGGAAATAATGAAACATTTTCACCGTTTCCCGGCATTGTATGTAAGAAACGATAAATTGATTGAGAAAATAATCATCAGATCAATTGCTAATGAAACTAGTCATTAGTTGCAGCCATTATTAAATTCAATTCAAGGTTTTATTGTCATTCAAAAACAATGTGCATGTAATGTAACGAAATTCAGATTGCTTGAGTCCTGGTGCAATAGGATATTAAAAAAACACACACATTCAAACCACATTAGATATATATCTATGTCTACTTTTTTCTTTGTCACTCTGTCGTGTTACACTGCTTCATCTCTTGTTGTTGCAGAAAACGCCTCTTCGCCGTCCTTTTGTCAAGTACATACAGACATTTCAGTCTGCTACACTGAACCTCAAATCTTCACTTTTACGATTCGTTCTCCTCCCCAGAGCGGAGGAAATGATGTGCTGTTCCAGAGGGAAAAGAGCTGTATGATGTGGGCATTTTGTCTGGCAGTGCATCACAGACAGCCTAATTGGTGCTGATTTAATAGCCTCCTAATGTCACTTGAAGGTCTGGCAACAGCTGCGATTATAATTGGCTCTTGGTAGACAAGCAAGGCCCGGGCAGGCAGACCAGCATGGGGACTTACAGTACGATGACCCCTCTGTCACATCTCAACACAGCAGCAAATGTGCATGTGAAAGTTTGACTGCGAGGAGGCCACAGATTCAAGGGTCACAGGACAAGACAGAGAAGAAGCAGGGAGAAAATCCCCATCAGCTGGTTGTGTTGGGGAGAGACCCGGTGCCTCACCCCGGTGGAAAATAGATCTGACGACGGGTGCATCTGTACAGGATTAGGGGGTCAACGGGAGAGACAAGGACCTGCTTCGGAGTAAAGCTACTGCAAACCACATGTACAAAAAAGACAAGTGTTTTCTTTGATTCACAAAGGAGCAGCATTTCAAAAGCGAGATTTACATGTTACACTAGAGGCAGTTTGTCACTCATAGGCTGCTTTTCCGGACAGGGATTAAACCCAGCACTCAAAGCAGAAACAGCTTCTTCACTGATCTGTGTCATTTGTGAGCGTACACTGCAACAACCATGAAAGCACGCAGTAAACTGCATTTGGATTGACAGCACGACTGATCTGCCCAGAAGCGGGCTGATTGTGGGAGGTGTTGGCAGAGCCCGGAGCCGTCACACATCAATCACACTGTCAATCCAAATCCAGTTTGGTTCTTGCTTTCACTGATGCTGCAGTTTAGCTTCACAAATGAATATAAAATGGAGCTGGATGGTATTTTAATCACAGAGGTTAAACATATGCTGCATCTGTTGTGTGTGTTCAACGCCAACAGATTTAGTTGTTTAATTTGGAGGACTGTGCAGGGTTGGCGGATCACTTTAAGGTTCTCTGTGTTATGTTCATTTGTTCTGTTTCCATTGTTTTGTCTGTTTTTACTGCTCTGACACAAAAACATCACAGTTCTACGCTACACACTGGGATCAACAATTAGGCTCAACCGTAGGCCAGTTTTTTCAGCACTCGTCATTTGGGAGCCAAGGAAGAGAGGAAGTTAAAACTGCATTTGAATTCAGTACCACCACTACTATTTATTCATTAAAATAAATAATATGCATTTATGTTATTCATCTGTTAAGTTTCTTAGATTTGATTTAAGCATCATGCACTATTTAAATAGCCTGGCACTTGAACTGGGAACAATAAACCAAACCGTGAAATCCAAAGATCTCTCTGTAGATCTGCGATAAAGTTCTGCGGTGAGGCATGAATCAGGATAATGGTATAAAACCATTTTAAAGCTGTGAGTGTTCCCAGGAGCACAGTGGCTTCAACAACTGTGAAACGGAAGCAGCTTGGAACCACCAGGACTCTTCCTAGAGTTGGGCGTCCAGCCAGACAGGTCAGGGAAGTGACCAAGAACCCGAAGGTCACTCTGAAAGAGCTTCAGAAGTTCTCGGCAGACATGGAGAACCTGCTGGAGGGACGACCACCTCAGTTGGTGCAGCCAAATACAGAGAGGCCCGTGAGGAAAACCTGCTCCACAGTGCACGCAAGACTGAGACTGGGGCGATGGTTCATCTTCCAGCAGGACAATGACCTGAAGCAAACAGCCAAGACAATGCTGGAGTGGCTTTGGGACAAGTCCTTGAGTGGCCAGACTTAACTCCAACAGACCGTCTGTGAAGGGACCTGAAGATGGCAGCTCATAGACACCTCCCATTCAATATAATGGGAGTCTGACAGGATCTGCAAGGAAGAATGGGATAAACTGCCCAAATCCAGGTGTGCAAAGCTTACCCAAGGAAGACTGGAAGCGTTAACTGCTGCCAAAGGAGCTTCTTCAGTACTGAAGTACTGAATTAAGGGTCTAAATACTGATGTTTAGTAAAATTTGTAAAAAAAAAAAAAGTTATAAAAGCATGTTTTCCCTTTGTCATTATGGGTTATTTAGTGCTAATTGATGGACAAGAATGGGAATTTTATCAATTTAATTGAATTTAATTCAATTCAATTAAAGAACATAATAAAGTGTGTAAGAAGTGAAGGGGTCTCAATACTTTCTGAAGTCAGCGTATGCTTTGTTTGAGACAATTGTCCACAATTTTTGTCAATTTTTCAGTGAGCAGCTCTTTTTTTTTTTTTTACTTTGTCCATTACAGGTCAATGATTAATCTGCATCTTTGAACTTAATTAAGTCACTTTTCAAACTGCATACTCTCAATACCTGCTTAGAATTAGTTTAATGTCTGGATGTAGGACGCAGCACAGGGTGTTTTGTTGTCAAGCAGTATCTGAATTTAAAATGAGTGTCAGGCAGACAAATTGTAAGTTGAGTGTTAATTTTAATCATCACAGTGAGATTCACTAAAAAAAGAGTTAGGAATGCAAATGTGTTTGTGTTGTTTTGAGTGAAATGCTTGGAAAAGAACAGGATTACGGCTCAGCAGAGGCACTGAAGAGGTTTTTAAAATAACTTATCAATCCAGTAATCAATGTGGTCCATTCTGAGTGCTCCATGTGACGGCAGTCTGAGCTGGAAGGCCTCTCTCCTCCAGGAATAAGTGCGGTGTCTGGCTGCGGAGAGCCAAACAACTGCTGTGTTTGCTTTACTAATCCAATTTCTAAAGAAGGAACATGACAGGTGTGCAGCCACAGAAGATATTAATAAATCAGCACTGGCTGCTGGGAAGTTCAGGTTTGAATTAACGTTTTTGTAAACTTAAAAACTTAGCCCCTATTTATTGTCTATGAAATAGTAATATACAGAAACATTTGTCCAGAGGCAGGGATATTAAAGGAGACTATCAATGGAAGTCAACAGTATCTTTCAGCAAACAGTGAAGCTTTTAATGACATTATCAGTCTGTGGCTAACCTCAGTCTCAAAGCAATTATTCATTACAGTGATCTCAGTCTTAAAAGCTTTCTGACAACACTAATACACGAAAAGATCTGTGTTTTCTGATCATTAGTCAGTATCAGGTTTTAGAGAAGATTTTGTCATACCACTTGAAGATAATCAGATCTCCAATCAGTTCCTCATCCTGCTGCCTGTGGTTGAAATTGTCTTATGTATTTTGTTGACGATGGATCACAGACAAAATTCAAAATTGAAACAAATCGTCAGTGGGGAACCTAGAGTGGATAATGTCATCAACATCATTTGAGACAAAAAATAAAATATGATGCTACTGTCACTCTTCACTTTCAGCTTCATATATGAAATATTAAACACCCATAAACTTCCATTTTCCGGTTTTCTTGGCATCAAGTCTAGACTGTGGTGCAACAGTTTGAACAGCACCCTCCAGTGTTGGGGAGCTGTAGTTATTTTTCTTTGGTCACAAGCTGCTATCTCTCCAACGCTCAGAACTCAGTATCTGTTAAAATGTGTCTATGGAGGGCGACCTGATGGCTGAGGTGTTAGGGCACATACCATATGGGCGTATTAAGCCCTGGGCATGTCCCTGGTTAGAGTACCAGCCAGCCGGATCCTTTGCTGCATGTCTCTCCTGTACTTCCTGTCTGTCTCTACTTTCTTATCAAAATAAAGACATAAAAATGCCAAAAAAATGTATGTGGAAATAAAAATAAAAAAATCTGTGAAAATTGGTGCACTCTTTGCCATCATTTCTTTTACAGCGAATTCCATGCTAACTAATTTTGACTAAGCTACATATTCAATGGGACATTTTACAGTGTAAAAATAAACTTCAGTGCCCTCTGGTACAAATATGTAATGGTGACTCGATTTCTAAATAAGCTCAAATCTAGTTTGGCACTTGTCTCACTCAGTCAGTCTCACTAGATTCTTTCTTGATACGGTCAATGGGAGTTGCAACACACTTTAAAATCCTACAAGTTAGTCCTGATCAACATTTTCCTTTCTGTGTGTAGGCTTGATGAAAACAAATTTTAGTTTATACTTATATTGCCTGTCAAGCACAAATAAAACAAATCCAAAAAAATGTGTTGTATTTTGGTTTTTATCACAAAATCAAACCTTCATTTCACTTCCTATATCTGTTTTCAGGTGTTCTCTTCTTATTTACATCAGAAATCAGAGATACTGAGGAGCTGGAGCTCATGTATACAGTTTTTTTAAGCAGGAAGCACCTGCAGTCTTTTCCAAATTGGGTGAACGCAGCAGCAGTGTAGTGTGTTATGGATCATAATGAAGAACATTGTGACAGCACCAGGCTGCAGACCTGTTTTTCTTCTGCACACCACCCACTGAAAGTAATGTTACTGCAGACACATTAACTTTATATAATAGTGTATCCAAAATAAATAACATAGCAGTGAAGATTTAAGTCGACCAAGCTATGCAAAACACCTGAGGACAGTGTGTCAGACTGTTGGGGGCTTTAGCAGGCTGCAGCTCACTTCCCCTTCTTGTACTTCCTCATATGCGCTGCTATCGAGCTGGAGATCTCTGCGCTTCTTTTGTTCTGTCCAAAATACTCCATGAACTCTCCGTCTGGTCCAACGAGGTACATGATGATCGTGTGATCGACCTAAAGCCAACGAGAAGAGAATTCAGACACTACCCTCTTAAATCTATTGTCCTAGATTATCCTTCCATCCTTAAGATACGTAGCATTAGTAACGGCAGAGTTACTACTCACAATGTAGTCATTGTCTTCGTCCTTTGGTCCCTGACTGTAATAGACTCTGTACGATCTGGAAACCTGCTCAATGTCAGCTATTGTCCCTGTCAGGCCGATCAGCTTCGGGGAAAACTCTGAAATGTAAATCACATTATCTATTAGACTCACCATGGTAAAAAAAAACAAGTCAACTATTACAGAGGTGAAGTGTGGTTCAAAAGTCAAGTGGACATGATCTAAAAAAAAAAAAAAACCTTAATATCCAGAAACACACTTAATGAAACAGAATGAATGAGCTAAAAGGTAGAGTTTTGTTGAGGATAATCAGACACACAGTGTTTATATTTTTATTTATCCTGTTGAAGGTTGTCAGGTGATTTTGAAATTCGTAATAGGAGCGTTTAATGGACAGACTTGAGTATTTAGCTACAACAGCTGTGTAATAGTACCAGCTGAGGCATCTTTGTTTTAGTACATATAATAGTCTTGAGTATGCAAACACACAGGTGCACAGAAACAGGTTTTTGTTAGACTTCTGGGAAATTCCAGGATCTCAGTTGCCCTTATTCAACCAACAGGTCTCTCCACAACTGTAGTGTGAAAAAGGAAATCCAGTTACAAACACAGCCGGGTTATGTGGTTTTTGTACCTTTCACATACGCAGCCATGGCCTCTGGTGTGTCTCTGTCAGGATCGATGGTGATGAGGAGAGGCGTCAGGTTTGGAAGAGACTTTATGTTATCTGAGGGAAGCCGAACACGAACAGGACAGGATGTTTGGTGAATTAAATTTACTCTTGTGTGTCATAGCCTGTGATGAAAACTGTTTTTATTACCTATTTCATCCACTACTTCGATCATTTTCTCTAATTCATCCGGGCAGATGTCCGGGCAGTGAGTGAACCCGAAATAGATGAGGACCCACTGGCCCAGGAAGTCCTCACTCTTGGTGGGCTTGTTGTTGTGATCAGTGAGCGAGAACGGACCGCCCAGCGCCGGTTTACCTATTGATTTGTTCCTCTCTTTTTCAATCACTGCACAATTCAACAGATAAACAGAGTTAAATCAAGCATTATCTCATAATTCAACATAAAAAATAACTTGGTTCAGACATGACACAGTTGCTTTATTGCCTAAATTCACCAAATGAATTTCATATTAACTTTACCTTAATGCGTTCAGTATATTGCCCAGTAAAATACTCACTTTCTTCCTTTTCTTTTTTGAAATATTTCATTCCTCCCAGCAGAGTTCCTCCAATAGCAAACGTTATTGCTAAAGATTTCCATGTCACAGGCTTTACAGAGGAAACATCGAGAAAAACAAATTCACAGAGTAAAAATTACATTTCAAGACAACTACTTCTTGGGTTTATTTGAGCTAAAACCTAAATGTTTTTTTTCTGCCACACAGCCTGAAGCAAATGTTCATATAATCAGGAGTTCACAGATTTATGATTCGTAATGAGTTTAATGTGTTAGAATAAACTGTAAATATTCTTACTGTAGTCAAATAGAAACTGCTCAAGTAATAAGTAATTTATGAATGATGACTTTGTGCTGACAAATTAATTATTCATTATAATAGCTAATTATCCAGTGGGTCACCCAACATTAAATTAATTAATCATTTTTTAGTTTATAGGGTCTCACAGTATTTTGTACGTTATCTCAGAAGCCTTGATAACAGAAAAATTTATAGCTGATATCATTTGACCAAAACTTTTCCATTAACGTGTTAAAACAATGAACAACTTGTGTTTATAAAGAGTATAAAGATACTCTCCATTCTCTTAAGTGTTTATTAGGTCCCACCTTTAGGCTTGGGTGATATCCACAGTGTAATATCTCGGTACAGTCAAGCTCAAATATTGCAATATACAACGTTATTGTAATATTTGATATTATTGCATTTGTTTCAGTTGTTGTTTTTCTAATAAAACATAATTATAGTGTTGCATATCATGTTGTTTTATGTTCTATTTTATAATATACTGTATATAATTATATTATTGTTTCTTTATGTTTCAGGTATAAGTAATGCTGCCACTAAATACCAGTTAACAAAGCAGCTAAATGAGGATCAGACTCAGCAGCAGGGCAGACTGTGCAAAACTCCAAAAAACAAAAATGTTGGTTTATTCAAGATTATCAAGAAATTTGGTATTCGGTTTCTCACACTCAAAGACACCTTGACAAGCAGAGAGGGGAAGAAGAGGATCAGATCTATCATGCCATGAATAATGGCTGAGTGGCTCTAACTGATCGATTGATGACATAATTATTGCCAACAGAATGAAAGTAGTTGCTCTATAATTTCTGATGAAGTTTAGTGTTTGTAGTGTGTAGTTACAATAATCACTGTACGAGGCTTAAAATGCACAATCAAAATACATCTGACTAGTGAATTGGCACCAAATGCAGTTACTGTTTACTGCACCTGCAACAAAAATAAGTTACTACAACATGACAAATAATGCCTCTACTAATTGCAGCTTTTAAATTTGAGAATGCCTTAAAACTTTTCCAACCTTTGTATGGCCACATGAATACTCTCTATTTGACCATTCAAAATAAACTCCCTACTTGCCTGTTAATTATGATGAGATTTGACAAAAGACCTGTTCAAAACTGGGGATTTCTAACCTTTTTGTGAACTTTCGTCACTTACCCCAGACTTCTTCGGCTCACCCTGTGGTGAGGGTGGTGGAGGCAATGAGGAAAATGTTCTTGAGCAGTGCTGATTCAGCCATTGTGTTTTTCTGCAGGTGTACCACTGACTGGGATTCACCTGTTAATGAGTGCACAAAGAAAAAAGAGCTGTGGTCAGAGTTAATATGCAATATGAAGTCTCTATTCAATTCCGTTCATTCTATTCAAACATTTCAAGTGGTGCTGTTTCATGTGAAGACCGATGGGGTAACTGATGGGGTAACTGGAGATCTCTACTGAATTATTAAGCACTTTTTTAATGTGGACAGCTTCACACTGTCTGCTGGTATTTTAATAGGTTGTTAACTGTAAGAAATGTTACGTATAAAATTCTGACAGCTTTATATCATAAATATACATTATATTTATTTAAAGAAAAGCAAAACATGAAAATCAAGTTCAACTAAAACAGCGATAAGCTACAGAGAAAATTTCTGGAATGGATGGAATTTGTTGTGTTTATTATATTCAGACTACATTAAGAAAAGACCTGCCATGCAACGATGTTTTAATAACTTGTTAACTTTATAAAAACGTTTCCTCTAATATTTCATGCAACTGAAATCAGTGGTACATGATGGGTTGTATGTAGGCGAAACTGACAAGTGTTTATGAAAGGTTAAAGTCGTATTTAAGCTCAGAGGCGTGACAACAGCATTGACAGTGATGCGTACGCTAAATTATCACATTTCTTAATGGAGTTTGGTGTTACGGCTGATTCAGTCAGCTAGCTTTGACCTACCAGACAGCAGTGGACTCTCCGCGGCGACAGTGTGTTTTTCAGCCCAGTTTCTCTCCGTAAAACATTGTGTGTGAATCTGACGGAACATTTCTGTAAGACTTTAACATTGCTGTGAAACAACCTGTGATATAACACACTCTGGGCCATGTTTGGACCTTGACAGAACCGCTGCTGATACAAGGAAGCGGTTACTAGTTTACAAAACGTGAAACGTGAGTGGAGAGGCGGCATACTAACTGCTGTTCTCAGGTCAGCTCTCCAGATTCATGATAAGTCAAAATGGTCGATTCAAAAGTTAAAAGGCTGCTCTCAGATCAGTATCGAGGTAAACGTTATTAAACACAGGAAATTGCGTCATTACATCTTCTTCTACGATTGGGGAAGTCCCTCTGCTTTCTGCTGCCCCCTGAAGGCTGTAACATCCAGTTATAAAATATGTTTAAGTAACTGCTTTGATAAATAAATAAATAAATAAATAAATAAATAAATAAATAAATAAATAAATAAATAAATAGATGAATAAATATACAAAATGCACATATGTACATCACTATAGATAAAATTCATACATACTGTATTGATCCTTGATCCTTTGCGCAGCCTCTGTAGGCGCAAAATAACTGAATGAATATATAAATGAAGTTTATATTTTTCATTCCACAGGTAATTACTGACTTGATTCACATTTTGTAGTTTTTCATATATATTATATTTCCATGGCTTCTGTTTTTCACTCTCTGACTACACTAACACCAGCACGATATTAATTTAGCACTGCAAAACAAACCCACATTAATTATATGCACTCATGAGAGTGTAAAGGATCTGATCCCAGTTTAAACCCTGGCATGATAAATAAATGTATAGTCACCTATCGGTTGTATTCAAATGTAATGCTCAGCATTACAAAACACAGGCAAGACACAAATATACAAATGCATCAATTTCTAACCACAATCTGCTCCTAATCATTACAAAAGCAGCTATCTGTTAGCCCGTCATCAAGTATATTTTCTAATCTAGCTCTCAAATCAGTAAGACATCTTTTCTTTTCGTGCAGCCACCCTCTTGTGATTTCCAGCATCTCACAGTCATCTGTCTCCCTGTCTTAATACATGCTTGAATCTAATTTACCACTAATATGAATTTTGAATTAAAGGCCAACTTGATTTACTTTTTTATTATTACATTCAATATTATTTACACAGTGCACTTCATTTGAAAGAGTAAATGTAAAAATCAATAACATTGATTAACTCTCTAATCTCTATCAGTCAAAATTTACACATTGAAATTGAAAGTCAAAGACAAAGACAGTTTGTAGGTAAACATTAAATTAAAAAAATATTTTTTTGAAAAATAACACCATTTCAATTCACCTCGGCAGCCATATGTTTGCATATAATGATGCCACAAAAACTTTACTTAAGCAGCATATTGTCCAGGATTTTCAGTCATAACAATATCACAAAATTAATTTTTGATCAAGTAAAAAGTAGGAAAGAAGTCGATGTCTAAATAGCAGTTTTACAATGTGAAGGCCAGTTCAATCTCAGCTCCTTATTGATGTAGTAGTAAAGCCAGGCCACGAAGGGGAAGACTGTGATGGCAACAGCTGTAGAGACTCTGAGCATCCCGACCGGAGCCCTGACACAGAAGAGAAGAATGGCATCAATCTTTCAGACACAATGTGAAATAATTTTTAAGAATAAAAATAAAAAGTTTATGAGATTCAAGATCTGAAATAAATCCCTTGGTTACATCTTAACGTTACCTTCCAGAGTGGCGACACAGGAGAAGCCATACAACTGTCAGCATGAGACCAGAAAACTCTCTAAAGGGGAAAAAATATTTAACCAAAATAAATAAATAGATAAAAAATGTATCCTCAGTACAGTGAAGCCCGGAAAGCATTTACATGAAATTTCCATTTCCATTTACATACCAGGACTGAAGAGATTTACATATACATATTTTTTAAATTCCTCTCAAATTATAAACAACCTTTCAGGTATTAATTGAGTTTTAACTCTATACTTCTGAGTCATTTTAAAGTCAAGTGAATCTCTAAATTTCAGGGTAAATTTTTAATTCAATAAACAGTTAGTTTATTGGTTTGTGGTAAGTAGATTTGTTTACAATACTCTCAGTGCTCTCTCTTTATGAAAATTGGATTTGTATTTGTTTGTTTTATATAAGTGCACAGTATAAGATATAGAATGATGATTCAGACATGGTGATTCATACGAATCTGTATTTACAGTATTGCAAATGAAATTTTTGCTTTGGTGTAATTTATATGTGGTTTCCAACATAATCTATTATTTGTTACCACTGCCAGAAAAGGAATTCAGTCAAATGAAAACATCAGTTTCACAGTGAGGTGTAGTACCTGCCCTCCTCCTGCTGGAAGATCTGTGTGATCCGCTCTTTATAAAGTGTCCATCCCAACATGGCAATAACAGCACTAGATATCATCACATGGAGATCAGCAACACGCCTCCAGGGCAAAGTCTCTGCAATGAAAATGCAAAAACCCAAATGAAGACATCATGCACTGAATCCTGCTCTGCAGGTGAGCTTCTATGAGCTGTACATACACCATACAGCCACTTGATGGCGCTTTCAGCACTGGAAAACTGCACTAAAGCAGAGTTCAACTACTTGTGGTGAAATGTGGAAAACAGGAAAATGCCAACTGTCAGTGTCAGAGGAAAGGAAACTCTCAGAGAGCAGCTGCGTCCATGATCATTAAAGTGAGGTTTTTTTTCCCCAGTAGAAAAGCATCTAGTAAAGTGACAAACAAATAAACACAACTACAGATCCAAACTTGTCACTCTACCTGTCACATGTGGTTTCAAGCCAATAAAAGCACACAGGACTGCAGGGACCCCATACCCAACCTGCAACAGAAACGTGGTGTGAATAACAAATCACATATAAAATCCCCAAAGAGATAATAACCATGAGGCATGGCTGTAATCTTACCATCCACAACCCTGCGTCTGGATCATTGATCTAAGGCCAAGACACAGTTAAATGCTTGATTATTGATCACGAATTAAGGATAGAGGAGAAAAGGAGGGGACATGTCGTGTGTGTAAGGGGGGGGACTCTCACCTGAACATACGTGGCAAGAGCGAAGAATAAAGACATGAAAACGTTGCAGACTTGCCAAATGACAAAAAGCCATGTCCCGGTGCTCTGCGCTTTACTAACTTCGCCCATTGTTGCTTCCACGTCCCCGCCCGGGCGTGCGGGAAGTAAAGACGTAAGAAAGCAGACGCACCGACCACCCCCCCCCGAGTGCCGCTGGTCTACTAAAAGATAAAGGGTTTGTTTGATATTAACTACACCAATGCGAAGGTGCAGTTTCGATATACACTACGATTTACAAATGATTTAATGCCATTATCTCCCAAGTGAATCATACACCAGACCACAAGCCCCTTTTAGGTTTGATTTAAGACCACAGACCAACACTACAGAAGATTTATAAAGATTTTTTTTTAACATTTTGTGTTGCATAACTGTCAGCACGACACCCACGAATACAGTCCTTTAATTGCAATGTAGTTCTTTAAATGTTCTCTGACAGAGCTATGGCTTGAGCTTGTAAGAGGTAAAAAAAAGGTGTCAAAAATACCTCATATAGTCTATCTTCATTTACTATATCAGATTAAATCTTGGACTTTTTCGTCCCTGGCTGCCACGTACAACAAAACGAGCACACATTTGCCAAGACCGCAGTGACGTCAAGGCAGCAACAATGAAGAAATACTACTTCTGGTGTTTCTTTACAAAATAAAATCACTATTGTATGTCAATTTAATACATTTCAATTGGCAGGAAAAAAAATGCATTAAACTTTATCATGGCAGGAAACTGATTCACCAAAAAGAACAAGCACAATAGGAGACAATAAACATGACACCACACCCAAAATCTTAAACAATATAGCAAAGTATTGAGATATTTTACCGATGTTTGTTAGTTATATAAACTACACTTGGTACAAATTATCCCTTGTATCCTCTATGTGAAAAATCAGGGGGTTTATTCATTTATTTATAATATATTAAATTTTTTAAATACATTTTTCTCAAGGCTTGATTACAAATTTGCAGAGGGCCCCAGACCTCCAATGTCCCGAAGGCCTGAAGCTCATTGTTTGGCAATTAGTTTGCATTGATTTGATTAATTGCATATTGGTTATTAGGTACATGCGCCATAAAAGGACAATAGCAATATGAATAAATCCATTTTATGTAATATTCAACCTCTAGATTATGCCATGTTTTCTGGAGGTCCCCCATGTTTGTTGCGTTTAAAATTTCAGTTTCTATTTATTTACACTATAATTAAATTTCACGTACTAAAACTAGACTACCAACCAGGCAAAGTGAACAACTGCCCAGGGATCCCAAATGCCCCAGGTTTACTCCATAACAAATCGGTCTACATAATGTGATTATTAGCAAATTTGTTAGAGATTTGAAACCATACCAGGTCCTCCATGCTCCATGTTGTGACTCTATCTATGTGTCCCTGTGTCAAAATCTAGTGTTGAAACCTTAGTTTTTTTAGTTTATGTTGAGTTAATTTGTTTTAAGCAATTTTGTTAAAAATAAGTTAAAACAATTAGTCATCAATTAATTTTCTCTTACTCGACTAAAGTTTCTGGGTGCCTGGGGAAATAAGCTGCCATGTGTAGTGGGGCAATAGGGGTCTAACAACACATTTTTGTCCAGGAGCCCCTCAAGGTGTTAATCTGGTAATGTAAGTAGCTATCTTGTGTTATTTAGATAGGCTATGTGCCTAGATATCAATTCAACTTAATTTTGATTTAATCTTAATCTTTTAATTAATTTGCACTGAATTTAAGTGACATGTTCGTTTTATTTTGAATGTGACATCCGGTCTGGTCGTGGCTCATTGCATGTAGCAGCTGTGGGTGTTGACATGTCAGTGTCACTTGGTCAGCTGATTGCGGGTCGTAAAGCCCCTTGACTAGCCAGTTTAGTTAGCTTAGCCTAGCTGGATGTTTGTTTTTGTTAACGTTACCACACAGGTAGCTTTTAACCTAGCCTAGAAGTTTTAAAATTTCTAGATAATTGACGCATTTTGAAGTATTCTACAGCCGCCGGCAGCTCGTTTTGCGGTGTGAAGTTTCCGTTAGTGAGGCAGCAATTATCGTGGCTGGGAGAGAAGACGGGTGAAGTTGCTCTCCGTTCTCTGCATTGCAGCCCGGTGCTGCTGATGGAATTCAAACACACAACAATGGCGACTCCCAGTCCTAACAACTCAACAACACCTAGCAGCCACAACAGCAGCAACAACGCAGGCTCTGCAGCGCACCACCATCACCAGTCCCAGTCTCAGCACATTACCACCATGAGCAGCATGCAGGGTAAGTGAAGGGTGAAGGTGGAAATATCTGCTTGTAGCCGGGAGCTCACATTCTGCTGCAGTGAAGGTTAATGTTAGCAGGGCTAGCCGTGGGAGGCTGAGGCTACTCCCAGGACTGAAAAATACTCTCAAGGGAACGGACCAGTATTTTTCCCAAGAGGAACGTGCTTACGTTTAATTGCTTGAGTCCATCAATTGGAAAAATAATTATTCCCTTGTACCTTTCAAATTGTATTTTATGTTCTTGTTACCATTTTGATATTTTTCAGCCCCGTTACATTATGTTCTCCCTTGTCTGGGCAGATTCTCGCCAAACTCTGTTCCTAAAATGGGCAATTTTAAGTCACAGCTATTGCTACATATGTCATATAAACCAATGATTAAACTCTCGTTTTTTTTAAATCGTGCAAACAAAAAAACCACTATTCCGCATAGATTTAATCAGTGTGTCATCATGCATTTGAATTACAGCTCCCTTGATATTCATGACGTCTCTATTTTCCAACTTAGGCTTCATTCGTCCTCTACATTAATACAACGAATTTCACCTCTTTGGATTGAGAACTATGGTAGTGTAAAATATGCCGAATTTGTCCAAACACCTTCACAACTAAGACATTATCAGAAGTTATATTGCATTGGGTGTATATGTTTGGCAATATGCAAATCCAAATTAAATTGCTGAATTTGACTTTAAAGCTTGATGGGTTTCCATACAGTCTTTAAAACTCTGTTATTAAGTAGTGAGTGTTTGTAGTGATGCAGCTTGGTCCTGCTTGTATGGAGTAGGCCCAGTGAAACCTGAGGCTGTTCTGTCCTTTTAAGGCTCTTGTCAACAGAAACAATTAAACCAGTCTTCTCTTTATTCATACAACCACCACTAAACCAAATGCTCATTATAATGATGTATCTTTGTACAAACAATGTCTCATTTTAACTTTCAGAGTCCAACACCTGCTGGAGATGTCAGAGTGAAACAGGTAGCTACACACTTCATTTGACTTAGTAGAGTAGGATAAGCAAGTTAATCAAAATCCAATTATTAAAAGTTTTTAGGTGAAGAACCAAGCACAAACATGAGTGTTAACACATTTTAGTGGTCTTGGTCAATCCCTCATATCTGCCATAAACAGATTTTCATACCAGACCAAGTTTAACCCGCCACTATCTAATGATGTTTGTACTAGATTGTACAGTTGATTAGATTTTTTATTATTATTATTATTTTAATCTTTCATTGATTCTATGGATTTATATCTGATTTGCATGTTAATTTTGCATTCCTAGTACCACTCTATATAAAGAAGAAGATGCTACCTTAATCAAGTCTAACAGTAGTAATGATTCAGGCATAAACACTTTGACTTAATTGATTATATAATCATAACGTATCAGATATCTGGCATTTATCCCTGTTATGTAATCCTGTTTTCATTCACCTTTGCCTGACCATTTTTCACTTTTTTACCTTAATGCTGCTAACTAATGATTCCTAACTCCTGACATGGTGCTGAATAATGGTGAGCTGTCCCAAGAAAAAAAGATGTTTATGAAACTGTAATATGTTTCCCTTTGCAAAACCATTTCATGATGGTAATCCATACTCACTTTCAGATCCTTTTTTGTTGTATCTACAGGTCATTTTGCCCCTTTCATTTGCTGTTCCACTGACTGACACATGACATAATTCACCATACTGAAGTGCTTGTAGCTGTTTCATAAAATGCGTGTGCATGCTAATGCATTACCCTCCAGATAATGCATTTAACCTGCAATAGAACTCAGCACAGCAAGGCCAATTTCTGTGATTATTTGTCAACCCTAAAACTGCAGGATTCCTGTTAGTCCTGGGTTTGCTGAATGAAATGGACACTTTTTTTAATTCCAGGAAGAGGTTATTATAGAATCCTTTAAGCAAGGGATGCCACATTAAATCTTGGAGGTCTACTAATACAGCAGTCTCTTGAGAAAGACATAACAAGCTGGCAAATTTGAAGGGTGAACTATGAAGAAAATAAAAGCTGTCTTCTCACCTCTAGGGTTTCAGATAAACCTGTCTGGAGCTCCCCCAAGTAAGCCAACCCTCTTTTGCTTCAGCACCAACAGTTCTCATTCCTTTGTTTCCGCCTGACAGTCTGGTATGGGGGAGTCTGTCCTGCTGTTCTCAACTAATCCAAGTCAAGACTTCTGACGGGTTCAAGTAGGCTTGTGCCGGTAGCTCAGATAATAGAGAATGAGAAAGCTGCAGCTTGTCAGAAACTCAGTTTGATAAGTCACAACCTTTTTCACACAAGATACAGACTTTACAAATCTGTGCTGCATAAAAAGGCAGTCATTTCTAGTCAAAAACACTTACAGGTAATGTATTTCTCATCGGCACAAGCCTAAAATTCAGAGCTTCCATTGATATTTTGGCACAAACTGATTTTAACTCCTCAGTGTGATGGAAGAGCTCTCCCAGATAAAGAAAGACCCTGTTTCCCTCATTAAATACTGTAATGGAAGCTCTACTTCACTGGTTTACAGTGTGTCACTAACAAGCAAAAGTAGTGCCTGTAGTGTTGTCACATCACTGTTTTTTTTCCCCGACTGGTTTGTCTTTTTTTTTTTTTTTTTTTTTTTTTTTTTTTTTTTGGCATGGGTGCACCTCAGCATAGCACTTGCTTGTCGAGACAAGGTACACACACTCAAAAGATGTCATTTCAAGCGATGCTGCTTACTGGAATTCAAACACACATTCTTGTGGTATTTTTGGGTGGAGCAAGCTGGGAACACAGTCCTATGATTCAAGGTGAAATCAAAGCAGTTGGCCTTGAGAAGCATGTGCGAGATATATATATATATATATTTTCTTCTTAGCCTGTTTTTTTTTTTTTTTTTTTTTTTTTTTTGTTTTGTTTTGTTGTTGACCTGTGTTGGGTTTGTGTCTGCATTGTGAATGTAGGTGTGTGGGATTTTAGCAGCATGCTTGCCTTTCTGTTTCTGCATCAAATAAAAGATTCAAATGTAGGTAGCGCTGCTGGGTGTTGATAGCCTCCTCAGATAAATAAATGAATGTGTGAGGCAGCCGCTGAACAGGTGACACCAGTGTAAGTTAGGGTTGGGCGATGTGATGATATATTCAGTGAGATGAAATGAATTTGACAGAGACTTTCCATGTAATTTACACTCAGCTGCAGGGTATTACGTTCCCCTAGCACAAGCTAATGCAGTCTACT